CACACACATGTTTATCCTGCAGATGTTTACTGCATATCAACTCCCTGCTGTGCATCATGCTGGGTTCAGAGGATGCCACCTCTGGCCCTCAAGGAAGCTACAGACAGATTTGTTCTGAGAAACAAGGCAAACCCAAAACAGTGGACAGGATGTCTAATCGCTCTCTTTGCCAGAGGCTAATCATACCCCAGGGGCCCATGCCCACACTGAGTACCTGAGAAAGGTGATGGAGAGACAGCCCTTATCTTTAAGAAGCCGATGTTGGAATCAGTCAAGGGCTGGGTGGTGATCGGAAACCCGTGGGCACAGAGCAGGGGTGCTCCGTGACTGACTCCTGGACTGGATGTGTGTGGCCCCCTGGGGTTGGCAAATGCCGCCGCCGTAACAGCTGGACAGCTACTCTTGGACCTGAGTGGGAGACCATTTATCCAAGTTGCTTAGTAGCATTTGCTGGTGAGGTTAAACTTCCCGCTTTAGCTGCTCTCCAGTCCACACAAGGAGATAACCTTGAAAGAAGATGGGAGGGAGAGGGGAACGGGAAAATTTCTGGCGCATTCCAAAGGCAGCCCACTTTTCCACGAGTGCTGTGTAGAAAGGAACAAATTCTCATCAAGTCTCTGACCGTGAGTTTTTAATACATCTCTGACACTGGCTGAAAACACTGTTTCCACCTTGGGCATCCTCAAACAGGCCCACCACGTTTGCTCTTATCATCTTCAAGGTGAATTGCCAAGAACATGTTAATAAAAAAGAAAATTTTTAACTTTTTGCTCGGATCTCATCCTCATACCATCACTCCCCTACCCTAGACAGTTTGAAAGTATTCCACTTCTGTGAGGAAACACAGAGGGGAGGGTGTTATACCATTGACGTAGTCAGCACACTGAAAAATCAGCAGCTTACAATGTAATTTCTATACAATCATTGCCCTGACCCTGGGATCCAAAACCTTGAAATGGTTTTCATTTTGCCTTTTTTTTCACATTATCCATAATCATTCAAGGCCCCCACATACAACTGGTGAGGTTATGCACAACATGGCATATACTGTAAAGCACCGTCTATGCTGAAGACTGTGTGGATGGCAACACCCCACCCCACTCCCCCGCCCTTGCCAGAAGCTGGGCAATGAGAGCCTCACCAAGTGTGCTGGGTTGTTCAGCCCTCAGTGTCTATCCCTGTGAATCAGCAGGTCTCAAGTATTGGGCCATGGCAGCTTTTACTGATTCACAGTAAAAAGAGAAAATAATCAAAGTCATGATCACTAACGTTTATTGAGTGCTTACTATGAGCCAGACATAGTAATGACTCTATTCCTGATAGCAACCCAATGGGGTACCATTCTGACCATCCCCATTTCCCCATCAGGGCTGCACTCTTCAAGCAACGGCCAGTATGAAGCTGCCCAGTGGCCACTCCTGAGAACTGCCCTGTGTCCTGAGATTACGTCCTTCCTAAATACTGGGTGTGAAACCGACCTTTCTTTTCGAAATGACAGCGATGCTGAGAAGGCTGTTGCGATTGGCCCCTCTTCTGTCGCCTTCATCCTTCCTCCTCCTCCTTGGCCGCTCCCGTAGTTAGGTCTCCAGCATCTTCCTGGCGGGTTTCCCGCTTCCTGGCCTCCTCCTTCCTGCTTCTCTTCTCTCACTCAGGCAGATGTCGGTGCCCAAGTCAAGCATGTCTCGGATCTTTCCTGCCCCTGTTCAGAAACCTTCCAGGAATCCCTGCTGTCTCAGCTGGGGTGCGGGGCTCTCCACGTTCACCTAATTCCAGTTTATGTCCCGTCTTTGTCCTAGCCCAGGGGTAGTACCCTGCTGCCACCTCGGTGTCCCCAAACGATTAGGGCCTCTTCCTTTCTCTCCAGTTCTCTGCCGCCTCTGCCCCTGGGAACCCTGTCCATCCTCCCCATCCCTCCTCAAATTCATGCTTCGTTTTCGTGCCTTACTTATTCATTCAACAAACCTATTTTGAGCACCTACTAGGGACTGATTATAGTGGGGAACTTTGAGGCAGTCCTGCAGGGGAGGAAGAATTGAGTGAGCAATTATAGGAGATGTTACAAAAGGGGAGGGTCCCTCACCTGGGAGGCTTAGGCAGGGTGGTGATGGAGAGGTCAGGGACAGTTAGCTGTGTGTCCCATGCCCTCTTTAACTCCTGGGACCCTCTGCCGCTCCTCTGCTGGGGCAGATGCCTCTCTGCATCCCATCAGACAGTCACAGCAAATCTTAGACCACGAGGTGTTACATAAATATTTGTTGACAGTTAAATCATACTACTAGCTTCTGGCACATCAAATTATGGAAATTAGTTATCTTTTAAACCATCCATAATGATCACAGGAAGGGTTTGGCTGCTCCCTGGTCTCATTGACGTCGTCTGACTGGGTGGCTTTGCCATCAGTTTGTTCAATCAGCAGCTCATCTCACAGAAAACTGAAGGTTACACCCCAAACTATAATCAGAGGTGACCTTGCTTGTTGGGATTACAAAACACTTTCTGTTTTATACTTTCTATCCACCTGTAAATACTTGAATTTTTTTTTTACAACAGACTTGTGTTGCATTTATCATCAGAAATGTTGAATGTTTGTTAAGTAAATTAAACAAACCAAAGGAATTATTATTTGCCTCTCCCACTCCACTTTTTGGCCTTATATTTAATGAAAAGAAAACAGTTGTTTGGACAAAACCCCTGACTCCCTGGATCCTTGGAGCTCCAGGAATAGGAAGCATTACAGGGAGTGTGCCTCTAAGAGGCACAGGTGAATTGCCAGTGCTTTGAAGCCTGCAGAAAAAGAACATTCTTGAGGGAGGTCTGCAGGCATGAGATGCACAGCCAGACCATCCACTCCTGCAGGAGGGATCCCAGGTCAGAGAAGATGCGTGGCTGGATGGGACCAGGCACTGGGCTTCGCCTCCTCCCTCCACACTTGTGCATAAAAAGTTTGCCTGGCATGGAAGCGGCAGAAGCAGAGACCCCTTTCTGCTGAGTCACCCTGACCCTGATGCCTTGGAATAAATGACGCTCCCAACCCAGCACACTCATCTGTCTGGACGACTGGGCTCAAGGCCAGCCCGCAGCGGACCCACTGCGCCCTCTCCCAGACCCACAGAGGACCCCTGCACTCCCACGGCCCCCCGAGACCTCCGGCTAAGGGACAAGCAATGGGCTTTCCCCAGTTTCTTACAGTGAAACCTCTTGTCCTCCAACCTGGCATCTGCTCCGGAGGCAGTTCCCAAATGCAGCAGCCACCAGAGTTGACCTGACATCAGAGACAGAGCTGGAGGGGGAGCTCCAGCCTTTAGTTGTGGTCCAGAGTGACCTGCAGGGAAGAAGCTGGAGGGATATATTCTCAGTTTCCTGCTTCTGCCCCCAAATCTGCTGGTAACTCCATTTGCCAAATAATTACTGAACTGAATGTTTATACTAAAAATTACTTGTTTATCTGAAATTTAACTGGCTGTCCTGTGTTCTTTTTTGGAAAAAAAACCTTTTTTTTAATTGAGATACAGTCAGTTTACAACATTGTGTCAGTTTCTGGTGTACAGCATGATGTTTGCCCTACATATACAGACATACATTCCTTTTCATATTCTTTTTCACTATAGGTTACCACTAGATATTGAATATAGTTCCCTGTGCTACACAGTAGAAACTTGTTGTTTATCTATCTTATATATAGTAGTTGGTATCTGCACATCTCGAACTCCCAATTTATCCCTTCCCATCTCCTCGCCCCCCGCCCTGTAATCACAAGTTTGCCTTCCGTGTCTGTGAGTCTGTCCCCGCTTTGCAAATAAGTTCACATATGTCTTTTTTTTTTTAGATTCCACATGTAAGTGATATCACATGATGGATGTCTTATGTTCTTATCTGTTAAATCCAGCACAGCCCTGAGCAGAAACTGCCCTACTCCCAGCACAGGCACACTCAGGAGCCCAGGAGGATGTGGCATCCTGAGTGTGCACAGCTCTTGACCAGGAAGGGGGTGCCTCTGTGTACCCCCATCACTCACCCACAAAACGCCAGCCTGTGTCTCCTACCTGCCTGTGTCTCACCACTCATGGTCAACGTGTTTGAATAATAACAACTGGCTTAGCATGTAGTCTCCAAAAATGCCGTTAGAACTGAGAGTACAACCATTGTTTTTTGGAAATTCTCTTGGGTCAGATGAAGTCAAAGCACTCCAACAGGCAAGCATTTGGGCAGACGCTCCAAGTCATTCTGTAGCTGGTGGTATAAACGCACGTTAATTTCCCCCCACCCCCAGGTACGCTGAGGCTCAAGCACTGTAAACTTGTCTCTTTGTGGCTTTTGCAAGACTGTTGGTCAAATTTGCAGCATAGTCTTATGGCTGAGCAGACAGCAGAAAGGTGATCTCAGGTGCCGTCACCTGCCTGCTATGCTACTGAATTGGGTATGAGGGATTTGGAATGAGTCGAGATTTCAAAAAAATGGGTGAAGGTGGTCAAAGGTCCAAACTTCCAGCTATATGATAAGTAAGTCTCCAAGATGTAATGTACAGCATGCTGACTGTAGTTAATAATACTGTATCGTTTATTTGAAAGTTGCTAAGAGTAAGTAGATCTTAAAAGTTCTCATCCCAAGTAAACAAAGTTTCTATGTGTGGTGATGGATGATGGATGTTAACTGGGCGTATGTGGGTGATCATTTTGCAAAACATACAAATATCCAATCATTATGTTGTAGACCTGAAACTGATATGTTATATATCCATTCTATCTCAGTTTTAAAAAGGCAAAAATTGTGATAGGGGAGTTCTGTTTCTTAAGCATTCTTTAGAAGGAAGGAAGTGAGCAAATGAATGAACTTGTGAATGAGAATATTCACACTATCTGTGTGTTAAATAAATTCTGCTGGTGTCTTCTGAGGACACTGAGGATGCCCTTTGCTCCCTCATCGTGGCCTCGTTAAGTTGGGGACCTCCTGCGAAAACTCCGTGATTGAAAAGACTGAAACTCCCATGTTCTGTTTTGCAGCTACCGCTGAGGTGAGGGAGGAAGGCAAGCCCAACCCTCCATTCCCAGGACCTTTCCCAGGAAGCCGGCAGGCTGACCACACGCCATTTTCCTTTCCTCACCCCCACGGGTACCAGCCCACCTCGATGCTTCCACTCACCCAGCCTGGAAGACCACACACAGGAAATGCAGCCTTCCCCAGGGTGACCCCTGCTGGGTCTAAGCTCCTACCGCCTCTGGCATTTAATCACACAGTTGGCCACATAATACTTTCTGAACACAAAGATGTCAAGTTTAATTGCTCGATCACTATACCTACGATCTACCAAGACAGCGCAACTATTTCTTGGTGGAAAGATGGGAAGGAATTGCTGGGGGCCCATCATGCAATTACTCATTATTATCCCGATGATGAAGTGACAGCAATAATTGCTTCCTTCAGGTAAGCCTTCTTTCTTCCTTTCTTTTAAAACGTTGTTGTGTTCTTGCTGATTCAAAAGCCCTGTTAATAAAAAAAAAAACAGCCTTTTGTTTTCTGTGTGAGCAACCCCACTGGTCCATTTAGAGTGTAGATTCATAGCTGACTGTATTGTTGATCTCTTTTAAATGAATTTTGGCCCCACCGGAACACGTGGCTATCAGATGCTCTTCCCAGCTGGGCTACGAGTCCTGTTAAGTCCTGCTCGACTAAAGAGCTCTCCCACTGAGGGAGAAAGATGTTCTCACTGGGCATGAGGAGACATCTCAATCACCTGGTGGGCGGGGAGCTTGTGAAACAGTGCAGCCCCCCATCCTTTTGATTCGCCCTATACCCTCTCTCTTCCCCTCCTCCCAGCATACCCTGCTGCTGCAGATCGTGGTCCTGATGTTGCCCTCGTGCATACTGGGGTAGAAAGAAGGTGGAGGGTCTGGGGAATGGAGGCAGATCTTCAGCCACATGGCTTACCATCCTAGCATTCCACTTTGTGTCGGCAGGGGCAGGCTGAATGAGTTAGGGGAACGACAAGGATGAGCCAGGCTTATCCTCGTGTCTGGAATGATCCACCGGCCCAAGGACTAAGTCCTCATACTTTAGATCCTGTAGACAGTGCAACAGACAGCTGCTTCTCTTCCCCATCCCTTTTCATTCTCTACTCTTTCCTCTTTGCCAAGAGGGTTTTTGGTTGTTGGTTTTTGCATTAAGACCTCCTTGCAAGTAGAGTTTTAGAATTAGGTGGACATGTGGTCCTTAAAGACTCAAAATGAGGTCAGAGGCCGGCAGAGCTGACACAAGAGGCTTTTCTCCGGGATTCCTCCACTCCGAGTGGAGCCCTCTTTGATCCGTAAGTTTTCACTTTCTCCAACCTGATGCTTGGGCCACTTCCAGAATTTGTCATGTCTTTGGGTGAATCATCGTATGTTTCCTTTTCAGAAAACCACCTCAGAGTTACCGCAGACCCTACAACTCCAATTAGAGTTCAGTGTGTCAACATATCCGTAAGATGCTCCCCTCCCCTTTTTTTTTGCATTTTTTTCCAAGTTATCGTCTTGGTCATCATCAAGGCCAACGACACAACTTTTGCATTTTCCTTTGGTGGATTTAAACTCTGGCTGGGTCTCTCTGGCTGCCTTTCTCAGCCAGTAGCTGAGATCACTCAGGAGACTTAACTATATTTTTTTTCTCCATCCACTACAAAGCACAGATGTTTTTCCATTAGGTAGACACAGCTTCTGCTGGGAGAAGTTAAGTCACCATTTCATAATAAATAAGATTTACAGGCTGACAGAAACAAAAAGCTGCAGTTTGGTCTCACCTGGTCATTTAGGAGGGGGGCACAGCCCCATTCTCTGGGCTGGGAGTCCCAAGCCAGTGTCCTGCCAGTGGCCCCCATGAGACCACAGGTGATCTGCTGCATCTTCCCTGGTCTTCTGGCCAAGGAGGTAGGTTTGGACCACCTGACTGGCTGCTCCAGGTGTACTCTAAGGGGCCATGAGATGTTCAAAAGACTTAAATTGGAGAGCATTTCAACTTAGTGTCTTACTTTGAACTTACGTCTTTAAAGTTCAGAAGGTGACTGGGTGATATTTTGAGAACTTTAAAGAAAAATGTCTACTTCTACATGGATTCAGCTTAACTCTCATGAACATGTTCTGAAGGGGAAAAAAAATCTTATCTGACCTCCAAACTAAGCCTTGAAGCAAATGTAGTGATCAGAATTCTTGCAAAGGACAGACTCTCAGCTGAACGGAGTAGTGTTTGGGACAACACCAAGTCCAGCGTCATCATATTCTTTAACTTTATTACAGTAACATTCAGGTGGCACAGTAGTCGTGGAGTGATTGAGTGAAGTAAATTACACTGACTTGATCAAGATGATCAATACTTGTGTAATTTCTTGGCCAGAGGGAAGGATGTAGGAGACCCCAAATTTAAGGTCTTTTAGATGAGGACTCTGAGGTCCTTATGAGTAGGGTGACTTGCCCAGGGTCACTAGGATGCTGGTCATCCTTGAACAAGGAGCCTGATTTACACACCTGCAGTGTCTCCTCTTTTCACATCTCATGGCCCCTGAGGAAATCCACTCTGGTTCCCAGAAACAGTGCAGAGTTCAAAACGAGGTCTAGGCTTGCAACAGCTACAGTTTTATCAGGAACTCATTAGCCTGCAGTTTTATTGGCATTGCCTCTGACAGTCTCTCTCTGGACCACATCTATTTAAGGGAGTGTGCAGAATAAACATGTCTGTCTATTGGCAGGGGTCTGAGGAACTATAAAGAGAAGCACAAGAATTTTAAGTTAGATCGTGGAACCATTTTTTCTTTAATAAGGTGTTACTATCATAAGAAAGGGCAGAATTGACATGAATTTTAAATGATGAGATCTGCCCACGCTCTGCACCTCTCATCCTTTAACAAGCAGTTGTGAGTTGCTGGAGACTGATGGATTTGTGGATGCGCTTTTTAACTTTCTTAGGCATGTAGCTCTTCCATATCATGCAGACCCATGCCTCCTGCCCACCGCATACTTGAACTCCCAAATCCGTCCTCCTAAAACCTAGGGTTAGTCAAGCATCTGGTCTTTGCTCCTGAACAGTACCTGTCCTAGTTGGAGGTGCAGATTAGGAGTTCGGCGGATTTAATGCACTGGAACTTTCATCCCTGTTACTCCTTCCATTGCTTCTGACTCCCTCATTCCCACGGTGGCCGCCATATTTCTCTTTCCTTCCCAAAGGAAGAAAAGGATGTGGTAAGTAATTTACAGTAAGGAAAAGCTTTAACATTCACTGGCGGCATCATTTTAGACACAAGGAATAGAGATTTTTTTTTCCAAATCCCAACACAGGCAACAACCCACTAATGATAAAAACAGGCAGCCTTGCTCGTGAAGGTGTTTGCAGGCAATCCTTTATTTGTTGGATGAACAACTAACTGGACATTGAGACGAGGAGGACAGACCTGGTCCCTGTCACCCTGCTTGTGCTTGTGAACAGAATGGAGGGGAAGGGAGACTCCAGTGTCAAGTGCAGAAGTGCCGAGGTAGTGCTGACATGGTATGGTAGTGTTGCCATCCGATCTTAGACTTTGACCTTGAAGGATTTATTTAGGGGTGAAGGACTCAGCATCAGGACTGAGGGAAGGACATTTCTGCCACTCAGAGGTGACCACATCTTGCAAACAACCCTTAGTTTATTGAAACTGGGTGTGGAGAGTGGTGGGAATGATAGGAGGGGGCTCACAGGCATTTAAGGATCCCATGTACTCTGGAAAGGTTAAAGGAGGTTTGTTTTGACATCACACGTGAGACTGTCCCCAAAAGATTTTTGAAACTCCCGTATGTGTATATTTTTAAGTATTTTAATAGTAATATAAGCATCTTGTTAAATACTTGGAAAATACCAAACAAATACAGAGAAGAAAACTATGGTCCACAATCCTGAGAAAAATTTTCCAAGCATCAATAAATCTAATATCCTTGAAATAAAACTGGTATTTTATTACACAGATGATTGTATCTCTTGTTTCATTCACTTGTCATTGTATTATGAACATTTCCCTGTATTAGTAAAATTCGAAAATATTTTAATGGCTGCCGTATGCCACTGTAAGTTGCTATTACAAAACATATTCAATTATAGAAGAGCGCAAATGGAATTATAAAGGGATAAACGTTAAAAATGATTTTCAAAATGCCAAGGTTGGTGGCATATACAAGGGAAGAGATAACTGGTGTGGGTCTTCAGCTCCAGAAGCCCTCTTGAGCTGGGTCCATGCTATGCCGATAGTTCGTGGTTTTTCCTGTTTTAACTTTAGATGTCTGTTGTTATTGACAGAGAGTCAAAAGTCATCTTTCACTAGTGGGTGGAGGGAGCGCTTGGCGTCTGCTAGTAGGTTGGAGGATTCCTAACTGGTGGCTTGGTGATTAATACTGAAAATCTGCACCACCATCCATGACCGCCACGCATCACCCCCACCCCCCCACCCCAACTCCTCGCCTAGTCCTGAGTGCATCCCTTGAAAGCATTTGCTAGATCTCCTTTGTGGGACTTAAGTCACCAGCCAAGCTGCCCCCTTGGTACTTCAACTGGTATCCCACCCCATCTGCACCTGCTATCAGCTCAAATCCTGGCACATCCTTTCATCCAACCCGGGACCCTGCTTAGCCAAAACCTTGCCCTGGAGTCTCTAAAGAGGGTGCAATCTGTGAGGCATAGTTAGCTCTGAAGTCTGATATTGGGTGTAAAAAGCTCTCTAGCTTGGGTTAGAAACACTCCCTCGTCAGGTAAAGTTTCCCAGGAAGGCGCCAGCCTTCAGATCAGAAGATTGCAATGGAGGGGGACCCACCCTCAAGCAAAAACAAAACTGAGGCTCCTGTAAACTGACAGGCCCTGCAGACCCAGTTATTAGGCGATTGATGGCGAAGGGAAAGTATTTGATGTTTGTTTTCTTTGGAGTCTAGGGATTCCCAGTGCTCCTTAAACTCTGGCATCCTTCCCAGTAGCTAAAGCTGGAAGGATTTTACTTGCTTAGTACATTTTCTTTGCAGAGATGTTAAGTGGGGAGTTTGCGTCCCTGCGGGCCCCTGGCGCCTCAGACGCTTGTGTTGGTTGGGCCCCCCGCAGGCTCTGTGTGCCAGGCTCCTCGTCCGCAGCCTGATGGACTGTGGACTGGTGCCATCGCTGCCTCTGGTGGCCCCCAAAATGGACTCATCCATGAGAAATCAGCAAAACATCTAGGAAGCAGGAGCATAATTTCTTTGGCCAAACCATCAGCTGGAAAAACTATTTTTAGCCATAGATCCCTGAGGCTTTTTGCCCTGCTTTATATTCAGGCTTCCTTTCAGCTCAGATTTTGTTCGAGAGCCCTGAACTCAGGTTACCTGTGGAATCCTGCCAACACCATTTGAACTATGGCAGGTTAAAACAGGATGCTTCTCAGTGGGTCTTTGTATTTCTTTCAAAAGTGGTTTTTTTTTTCATTTTTAATTTTTTTTATTGTGATGACAAATATATAGCATAAACCTGACCATTTAACCCTTTTTGAATATACAATTCAGTGGCTATGAGTGCATTCATCGCTACCATCCATCTCCGGAACTTTTTCATCATCTCAAACGGAAATTCCATATACGTGAAACGCTAACTCCCCACTCCCCCTTTTCCTCCAGCCCTTGCTAACCTCTGTTCCACATTATTTCTACGTGAATTTAACTACCCTAGGTATTCATGTAAGTGGAATCATCCAACCATATTGGTCCTTTCTTGTATTTCTTTTAAGAAGACTCAAGAGCATAGCTGCTACTTACGAGGCATTTCTGAGCAGTTGTCCCAGGTCTGAGGGATGGGGAGATACTGTGGGTTCTTGCAGGATGTCCTCGGCCTGAACCCAGCTGAGGGTGCCCTGGTGTGAGGGGCTTTTGCAGCTGCTGGCCCTGAGTCTCTGTCCAGGTGGTTCCTGTCTAGACACCATGGCTGAATCTATGGTTTCTTTGGTCGTCCCCACTCAGATGTTTGACCAAAATCTGATGAAATTATTATACTTTAAAAAAAGAAAAAAAAGGCAGTGCCTACACATGGTAAAGTTGTCTAACTGTCCCAAAATTACCTATCCCACTCCAGCTCCCAGCTCTTTCCCAGTGGGGAGCTCAGGTTACCCATTTATTGGATATCTTCCCAGCGATACTTAATCCATGAGTCTGTGTGTGTGCGCGTGTGTGTGCGTGAGTGCCTGTGCCAGGCCCCAGTATGGTCTGTTAATCCAATGGAGTGTTACGCACAGCTGTGGTTAAATCGGTACCCAGATTTCACAATTTTTGTGGCTCTGTGAATGCTATTTTCAGCTGAATCGTGGAGTAGACTATAATTACATTGTAGGGCTTTTTGATTTTCCTGAATTTAATAGTTTCCTTGCTTGTTGGTTCACTTAATTGTCTCAGTTGCCGTCTCTCACTGTCTCCTACGCTCTAAAGGAAAATTCGCGTCTCCTCTCAAAAGGGCAGAATTCGCAGAACTGGTGTTTTTTCCCTGGAGGTGCCGGTCCTGGAGCGGCCCCTTCTGCTCCGGCCTGGGCAGGTTGCCCTCGGGTCTGGGGTCCAGCCGAGTCATCTTTGCTCTCATGTTTGGGACCTTCGTTCCTCCTGATTTCCCGCTTCTGTTTCCTGGATTCCCAACTCCCGTTCTTGGCTTTACTGCCTCACGTAGGCACAGAGCTCACTCTCCACAGGCTTCCTGGGCCCTTTTGTGTTGGAAAAGGCCATGTTTTTCCTACGCCTACCACCTTGAGGGTGTTTGGCCGGATACAGAATTCAAAAGGAAAATCATTTCCTATTGTCATCTTGAATCATTGATATGTTTCCTTTTCGCTCCCGGAGTTGTTCGTGAGAAGTATGACGCTGTTCTGATTCACTCGTAAATTACCTGCTTTTCCTCTTCTCTGGTAGCTTCTGGGGGTCTCTGCTTTGTCTTAGAGGTGTGACAATGCCTGGGGAGGCCGCTTGGTGGATCTTCTCTTTCTCACTGTGCTGCCTTAGGGGCCGGGTGGGGAAAGACCCGTATCTCCAGTCCTGGGCCTTATCTTGAATGATGCCCCCTCCTCCCCGTTCTGTGTTCTTTCTGGAACTCCTTACTCAGTTGGTGGAATGCCTGGATTGCTATTCTGAACTCAGAGCCTTTCCTGCTGTTTCTGCCGGGGAGCCACTCGCCCATCTCCAGCCTCACCCCCACCCTGCCTGCTGCACGGGAGCATTTACTTGGATGTCTAGAAAGCAATGAGTAGAATTATTTGTGAAAAACCTTTCCTGCACTATAGGTAAGATGGATTTGAACTTGCTGATTAAGGCAGACACATATTCCTTCTCACCAGATGATGCTAAACCCCGCCTGACATGAACGACCAAGACCAGCTTTTGATCATGTTCCGTTTGCATCCTCCTGTTCTATTCCTAGTCTGAATTTTCCTTGTTGGTTGCTTTCAGGTCCTCCTGGACTTGGTGCAGGCTGATTTCTGCCACCCAAGGTGTGCCGCTTGGATGTTACTTGTGCCTGCTGGATTCGTGGGCTCCTAGTGGGCTGTGCTTCAGGCTGGGTGCCTCGCCCCACCCAGGGCTGCTTTCCTGGGGCAGTGCCCTGCCTCCCTCTCTGGTCTTCCCATCCTCTCTGGTCCCTGGCTCCCTAAGTCATGCAGTAAGCCTGCTACACCGCCAGGGTCCCAGGCCCTGAGCCAGAGCCCGATCTTCAGAAGGCGCCAGTGTCCTCAGCCTGTCTGATCTCATCGTCCACACTGTCCAGCCTCTTCCACAGCGAACTTGCAAAATATGTGGAAAGGACGCTGTCTTCAGTAGCCATGACCTTGGTCTCCATTGGAACTGCCATGAAAACTAGGCTGGGCAGCCTTGCAGATTCTGCAGGAGCTGCTGAAAGCCACTGGTTATTACCCACCACGGGCAGTGCGCCAGCCTAGAGGCCAGATTCTCAGGGGCGGGTCGGCTAGGCCCCTCGTTTGGAGATACTTGTCCTGCAAGGTCTCTTTCCATTTTCTCCTGGTGACCTCTAGGCATTGCAACATTCAACTCCTGCCCGAAAGCATGGAGAGACCCGGCCTTCCCTTGACCCTTGCGTCCCCTCCAAGTCCAGCCGTCATTCACCAGGTGTGGTCATTTACCAGGTGCGGTCCAGAATTACGTCACTCCTGCACAGAAATGAGGGGAGAGGCAAAGACAGAGCATTCCCAGTCAGTGGAGCACTGCTTAGATTGGCACATCAGGAAATGCAGGTGACAGGGGACCATCATTGCTGGGTCCTGGGACCATTAAGGAGGTGATGTTAACCCAAGTAGCTCTGGTCCCTCTAGTTCTGACTGGTGCCATTCTTGACATGCATTTTAGTCACTCTGTTTATCCTAGGCTAGTAGGGACCTGCAGAATGGTATCGTTGGGGAGAAGCTGTATTTACGATGGTCAGTGTTCTGAAACTGCGTGTTCTCGAGGCCAGGGGCCCTCACCGCCACATGTCAGCTCCTGATGCTACTGCGCTGTGTTAATTACCCGGGCAGTTGCCCCTGGACAAGGATGGGGCCCCTCCAACTTTGCCAGCTTCCTGGTCTCTTTTAAGCCTTAAGCCTCAGACCTTGGCATGTCAAGGACGGATTTTGTTCTGCTTTAGTTATACTGGGGAGCAAGCTCCTAGGAAGGCAGGCAGACCACTCCACGTTTTTCTCCTTTTTCCCTTTTTCCTCTGGTCACAGTCTTCTTTGCTGTGTCTGATGAGCAGGGAAGAAATCAGTGCTTTGGGGCTTCCTTTCTTGGGGAGCATCTGAGAGCATTTCAAAGCATTCCTCATTCTCTTAACCCTCCCCACCCCAGCTAAGAGTGGATTTCACGTATGTGGTGTAACTCCCCGTTCGAAAACACATTGGGAAATTGGAAAGAGGACTCTGAACCTCTTAGAACCAAGGCCGCCCGTTTATATCAGATATTTATGACATATCATGGTCACACTGGAATATGAGGAAAACAAAAGGAAGGCGATTTATAAACAGTATGAATATGAGCTTGTAAATGCTGGGCATGACGGCATCAGGAGAGATAAGAAAGTCCACGGAGACTTGCACCTGGTGCATAACCATGTGCACGGCAGCTGCAGATGGAGCCAGCCGTCGGTGACTCATTTTCCAGATGAAGACCGAGTCACAGCAGAGCTCCAAACAGGACGGGGGATAGCGGCCCTCCCTTTGCACGGTCCTGGGAAATTCGGTGGATATTAACACCAGGCAAAGTACTTTGTGTGCATGTACAATGCGATGAGGTTCTAGTCTCAGAAGGTCACATGGGATGTGGAAAATTCGCCCCTGGCCCCTAAAAGCCAGGTTGCCCCCTACTTACTGTGAGCATCTAATACAACCCCACACATGCGCAAAATGCCTTGAAGGGCTGTACTCTGATCGAGAGACCCCTGACGTAGAGCCTTCCACAGAAATCCAGACAAGTGACAACATACACAGGCCGGAGGTCTTCAGAGAGACAGAACTGGTAGGATATATGTAGACAGATAAACGTGCACGTGCACACACACACACACATATACATTAAGGGAGAGTGAGAGAAATTTAAGGATTGGCTAATGTAATTGTGGGTGCTGCCAAATCTGAAATCTGTGGGGTGTCAGCAGGAGATCCAAGGAGGGGCTGATGCTGCAGTCCTGAGTCCCAAGGCAGTTTGGAGGCAGAATTCCTTCTTCCTCGGAGGACCTCAGTCTGTGCGCCTGTCATTTAACTGACGAAACAAGGCCCACCCATGTGACGGAGGGCAATCTGCTTTACTCTGAGTCTCCTGATTTAAATGTCCATCACATCTGAAAAATACCTTCACGGAAAACTGTCTTTACATCTAGACAATGGCTGACCAAACATCTGGGTGCCATGACCTAGCTGTGTTGACACACGGGGTTAACCATCACAGCGAATCACAAAGAGGTTGAAGAATGTTCTGTTGCCATCGCAGGACCATGGAAGGTCATCACCGTAAATATCTTTGTGTTTTTCTCTAAAGCATAACCAGCGTGCAGCGTTCAGACAATGGGTCGTATATCTGCAAGATGAAAATAAACAATGAAGAGATCGTGTCTGAGCCGATCTACATCGAGGTGCAAGGTGAGTTCGGAGGCCCCGGGGTGTCTCATGGCCACAGGGCTATTTGTTTTAGAACTTACATTAATTGTAACTGGGTGCAAACCTTGCAGATCCATAAACACTGAAATTTTACAAGGCTATCTTTTTAGAGTTTAGGTAGTAATGAAATTAACTCAATTTTGAAAATTTTAGCTCTCTCCAAGACCCTAGGGCTAAGAAAAAAAGAGATTCTGGACCTCCTTGTCCTAAGGTTATTTACCAAAAAACAAACAAACAAACAAGAAAACCAACTGAAGTCTTTTTCTTTTAGGAAGCAAAATACATCCTATTATGCATTTCTCAGCACTGGCACCAGGTACCACTCACTTGGTCAGTGTCAGTTTGTCTATTACTCAGTATCTTCTATGCAGATGGTGAAACCGGGGAGAGTGAGCAGTTTTCTTAACTTGGGCTGGCAGTTCAGACGGGGATTCTTTTGGGGGCCTTAGGATTTGTTGGGTGCATGGTTCAGTGCAAATTCCATGACATGAGACAGGCCTGTTGGGGGGAGAAGCGAAATATCAGACCAGGAGAAGCAGTCTCTGCCCTTGAGGAACTTGAACCCTAGTGGGGAATGTGAGCTGATGCACAGGTGAGCAAGGCCAGGTGAGCCCAGGTCCTGCATCTCGGGTCTGTGTGCCTGATTCGGCAGTGGCAGGGCCCGTCAAAAAACGCTTCGAGGTGTTAACTCTCCACCAGCACAGCAGCAGCCCTCTGGGATCTCTGCATCCCTGCTCTCTGAGGTGCCCCATCAGCAGAGCCTTCGGTTCATCCAGTTTTCTACTTTCTCCCAACCCTCCTCATCATAGACTTAAAAGAGCGGCTGATGAGCTTTCTAGGGAAATTTGACTAGAAGCAGCTCCCACTGAAAGGCTGCTGGGCTACCCATCGTTTTGCAGACCTGACCTTGGCACCCACTAGTGCCGCAGGAGGCCTGAGGGCGGGAGGCCCCTCAAGGAGTCTTTCGGAGTTTTGCTTTAAGCCCATCCCACAACAGCCAGAGCCTCAGGGTTCGGCCAGCCTCAGCCAGACGAGATGGTTCCTGCATTGGCTGCTAATCTGGGGAAAATATTCAGAGGACATTTTACTTGTAAGATCCCAGAAAAATGCCAGGGCAGGAACAAGTTAGGTCCAAATTAGAGTTTTGCAAAACTTCGAAACTTGAGACAAGAACCCCATTTTACCACTCCCACATCATTCCTGCTGAGACCAGATCTGTGAGTTCCCAGTCCCAAAGGAACACAATTTAAATGCCTGAGGTCAATTAGTTTGATCTGTTAAATTTTTGGCACACGCCCCAAGTAAGGACCAACTGGCTTTCTCCGCGCTGTTCTTGACAGCCCTTCCCCGCGATCCTGGTTCTAGGATCAAAGTGGGAGATCTTGGGATTGTAACTGTGTAACTGTGTCTACGCTGTTTTTCACTTGGAAGAATGTTCAGCCCTATGCAAGTATTCAGATTTTAAAATTTATTATCACCCACCTGAAAGTCTCACACACAATAGGTTGTCCTCAAAAACGGGCAGACCGCATCAGTCAGAATGACCATCATCCAAAAAAAATCTACAAATAATAACTGCTGGAGAGGGTGTGGAGAAAAGGGACCCTCCTTCACTGTTGATGGGAATGGAAATTGGTGCAGCCTCTATGGGGGACAGTATGGAGGTTCCTTAAAAAACTACAAGTAGACATACCACATGATCCAGCAATCCCACTCCTGGATATATCTCTGGAAAAGATGAAAACTCTGATTTGAAAAGATACATGCACCCCAATGTTCATAGCAGCACTATTTATAATAACCAAGGCATGGAAGCAACCTAAGTGTCCGTCAATAGATGAATGGATAAAGATGATGTGATACACAGACACACACACACACACACACAGACACACAAAGGAATATTATTCAGCCATAAATAAGAATGAAATATTGCCATTTGTAGCAATGTGGATGGACCTTGAGATTATCATATTAAATGAAGTAAGTCAGACAGAGAAAGACAAATATCATATGATATCACTTATATGTGGAATCTTAAAAAAAGTTACAAATGAACTTATTTACAAAACAGAAACAGACTCACATACATAGAAAACAAACTTACGGTTACCAAAGGGGAAAGAGAGGGGAGGGATAAATTAGGAGTTTGGGATTAACAGATACGCACTACTATATATAAAATAAATAAACAATAAAGACCTACTGTATAGCACAGGGAACTATATGCAATATCTTGTAATAACCTATAATGGAAAAGAATCTGAAAAAGAATGTGTGTGTGTGTGTGTGTGTGTGTGTGTGTAACTGAGTCTCTTTACTGTAAACCTGATAATAATACAGCATTGTAAATAAACTATACTTTAATTCTAAAAAAGGAAAAAAAATAGACGGGGAAAGCTATCACATGGCTTTGATTTTACTCTGTGTTTATCGGTGGGGAACCCTGAAAACCTGCCAGCTTGTCCCAGGAGTTAGAGCAACACCCAATTTCAGAACTGCCAGCCTCCCTTCTGGAAAAACCAGTTCTGAATCACCAATACAACTCCTTTGGGAAAGTGTCCTAGAAAGCCGGCTGGAACTAGACGGGTGGGAATTAGCCCCTGTGTTCCTTCTTACCCAACTTCAGGGAGGTGACAACTGGCCGCTGCAGACCTGGGTGGTATACAGAGAGAGTGCCTGTTGACAAGTTCTGGTGCAATTCCCACTCCCCTTGGAGCTGTGCCTCCGCTGGTGGGTCTGAAACCTTCTCTCGCTTAACTCTTCCTCTGCAGGACTTCCTCACTTTACCAGGCAGCCCGAGAGCTTGAATGTCACCAGAAACACAGCCTTCAGCCTCACCTGTCAGGCTGTGGGCCCGCCCGAGCCCGTCAACATTTTCTGGGTTCAAAACAGCAGCCGTGTTAACGAACAGCCCGAAACGTCCCCCTCCGTTCTGACTGTTCCCGGTGAGTCCGAGTTGTGTGACCCATTTCTGGTTTTCTCTCTAATAGTGGAAGGGAGCCGAAGTTTGGTGACCACTGCTGGGCGCCGCAGCAGGCGGTGGAGGAGACTGAAAGCACAGGTGTGGCAGCCGGGGGTAGGGGGTCAGTGATGGGGAGGCTGGTCAGCATCTCGGGGGTCAGAGGTCACAGGGCAGGGTTGGGGCATGGGGACCTGCCCTCCATGGGTGTCTGTGGTTAAATTGGTGAAGTAGCCAGAATCCTTGAGCCTGGGCAGCAGGAGCCCTGCTCACATCTCCCCTGGCCGCGGTGGCCTTGCAGGCTGGGCAGGTCTCGCATTTTAGGAACAGTTGATATGGAGACCTACCTCAGTGAGGTTTGGCAGCAAGGAAAATGCATTGGTCACGGGGGTGGCTGTGGGATAACTGAGTCACGGTGGGGCTGCGGCTGCCCTGACGGTCAGCAGTCATCTGATTTCCATCGAAATGGGTGTTCCCTGGCTTTGTTCCCATCCTTCCTCCTCTGACAGTGCTTTTGGTGTCAGTGCCATCCATGTTTCTGTCTTGGGGAATCCAGTAGGCTCCCCTGTGGCTCCTCTCACTGTCTTCCAGCAACATCTGGCAAGGTGACCACCCCCGAGTCCTCCCTTTCTTTGCACGTTCAGCAGATGTTTTGCGAGGGACCGCTGCACGCCAGAGGTGAACTCCCGAAAGTTCTGTCTTCCTGGCTTTCTTCCTGCCTCCCTGCCCCTCCTCTGCCCTTGACAGGGGTTCTGGACGTGGGGGTGCCCGAGGGCTCAGTCCTGGACCCACTTCTGTTCCCTCCGAGGTACTCCCACCTGGAGAGTGCCTCGGGAGCCCTGGCTTCAGGACCATCTATGTGATGATGACCTTGAACTTTGTATCTCCAGCTCGAATCTCCCTCCTGAGCTTCGGGCTCCTGTATCCAACCACCTCCTCAGCATTTCCATGTACTGGATACAGAGGTGTCTTAAAATGAAACTCTTCATATCCCCACTCCGCCCCAGACTTGCTCTGCCCCAGAATTCCCTGTCTTAGTAAATGATATCACCATTTGTCACTTGTCCATCCTTCTTTCTTCTCATTTTCCATGTCGAGTGCATCAGCAGGTTCTGCATCTACAGTACATCTCAAATCTGTCTTTTCTCCATCTCTGCCGTGGTGCCATCCGTGGTCCACATCACAGACATCTCTTGCCAACACCACTTCAGCAGCTTTCTAACTGGTCTCTTTGCTTCCAGCCTTGTCCTCACTCTTGTCCTTGGTGGCAGATTATGTCCCCTGCCTGCTGGAACCCTTCAGTGGGTTTCTGTTATCTTCGACTGTCACTCAGGGTACCCCCTGCCCCTGCCCATAGGCCCTGCATGCTCTGGTCCCAGATCAACACTCCAACCCAGCCCCATCCCACCCTTTCCCCCTGCTTGTTGAGTACCAGTCACACTGCTTGCCTTTCATTTTCTCAGAAACATCCCCCTTCTTCCTTGCCTCAGGACCATTGCACTTTCTCTTCTGTCTGCCTACGGTGTTGTTCCCTCTGCCCTTTGTCCCATAACACATCTGAAATATCACTTCCTCACAGAGGCCCTTCTTAACTCTTTTAGGTCCTCCCCACCCCTTTATTGACTCCCAGGCATGTATTCTTGTGGACGTCTTTCACTGCAGTCTTCATTTTATGTATATATATAACTACCTATAATTACCCTGTTTATTTGTTTAGTCTCCTTAGGGAATATAGGCTTATTCATGACAAGGACTTTGTCTCTCCCAGCTGCCTGCCTGACTCATGGTAGTACTCACTGAATATTTATGGGGAGAAGGAGCCAGCAAGTGAATTCCTCCCCCTCCAAGGTATTGTCTCTGAATTCACTTTTCTTGCCCCTGGCTCCACGAGGAATGTTACGGTCGTCTCTGCCTTCATCTGAGTTTTCTTTGAGTTTCTCCAAGGAATTGATCATCAAGTGACTTCATGGTTCAAAATCAATTTAAAATAAATGCATTCCACCCTCTCTAGGATGGTGGCTCTGAAGTGCCATAAAGTAAGATTTCTGGTGCATACAATTAAATATGTAGGTTAAACTGACATATAATTAAATGCGTAGAACTTAAGTGCACGGCTCAATGAGTCCTGATAAATGTGGACACTCCTGTAATTTCAGTCAAGATGTAGAATGTTGTCGTAACCCCAGGAAGTTCCTCCTTGCTCCCTTCCGGTCAGCCCCCACCTCCCATAGGTAACCTTGTACCAACGTCTGTTACCATAGATTGATTTTGCTTGTTCTTGAAATTTAAATGAGTGAAACCGGAAGGTGTGTGTTCTTTCATGTCAGGCTTCTGCATCTGCTGAGATGATCAGCTTTTCTCCTTTATTCTCTTCATGTGACAAATTATATTGGTTTGATTTTCGAATATTAAGCCCATGTTGTACTCCTGGGATAAATTCTACTTGATCACCATGTATGGTGGTGGATTCCATTTGCTAATATTTAGTTAAAGGTTTTTGCGTTCATGTTTATTCTGGGGTAACGCTGGCTGTGTGTACTGCAAGTCGGTTCTGATCCCAGTTACCAAGAATTAGTGCAGACCCCATGGGTTAAAGATGTCTGCCACAAGACTGCCCTCACTTAAGCGGCCAGCTGCAAGTCTCCAGGGGGTCCCTAAGCCACCTGTACCTCTTATTGACTGGCTATAAATTTGAAGGTTCCCATGACCCCCTTGGTTTCAATAATTTGCTAGAACAACTCACAGAACTCAGGCAAGTGCTATATTTACAATTATAGTTTTATTACAAAGGACACTCATGGGGGGAGATCTGGGAGGGTCCCAAATGCAGAGCTTTCTTGCCCTTCCCTAGTGGAATTAGAGTGTGTCACCTCCTGGCACAGCAATGTATCCGCTGAACAAGAAACTCTACTGAGCTTTGGGGTCCAAAGTTCTTATTGGGGTCTCATTACAATGTAGGCGCCGCTGATTAAATCATCAGCCCTGAGCTTGAACACGAGCTCCAACCTCCCTCTTACCCCTGGAGGTCTGGAGGTTGGGCTAATGTCACGTGGATCAAAGCCCCAACCCTCTCATTTCATGGTCAGTCATTCGGGTGACCCGTCCCCATCCTGAATTCTCTCATTAGCATGACAAAGCCACTCCTCTTCCTCAGAGAATTGCAAGAGATGAAAGCTAGTCAAAGTCTTTACCATACAACAATGTTCATGAAGGAGAGCAGTGTGATTACTGTATATTATTTATTCATTAGTTATCCCCATCACCCAGCACATTGCTCGGCACATCAGAACTGTGTGAGTGAATGAATGAACTAATGGACAAACAGGTGAATTTTAAACAGTCCTCAAGTCTTATACGCCCCTTCCCGGGGACAAAGACATAGTGATGGTGAAGTAACTTGTACTTGTGTCACTGCTTTTGCATTTAAACTCTTTTTCATCTTTTCTCATTTATACCTCTAGTGAGTTCTGGGAAGTGGATAGGACAGGAATTTTTTCTTTTTTTTTGCATCCGTCTTGCAGCCCCAAAAGGCTTAAAGAAATCTGCGGAGAGAGGATCTAGGGTGCAGGATTCAGGTTGCAGAGCATACTCTGGGTACCTCAAGTCACACCAATTCAGCTACTGCCGACTATTCCCAAGCATCCGAACTTTGTAGCCTTGTGATAAAACTACATAAAAGCTATTCTTATTTGCAGCTGTGTTTTAACTTACTTGGAAGATGCTTTCGTGTGATACCCAAGCCCCTCCCAGTAAATAGTTCATGTTTGGGGAGCTGGATGCCCAGGCTCTTTTGACTTGAGATGCCTTTCAGGGGGCTTTGTGCCCACGCAGCACCTCACGTGCTGATGTAAAGTCTGAATGTTTGCAGGGCGCAGCGTTCTCTCTTGGTGTTAACCCCGACGCAAACTTTCCCCATCCCTTCTGCCGAGAGAATGCTAAGTAGGGAAGAGGGTTCAAGAGCCCTGATTGTTGAGGCTGCTTTGAGCAGGCACGTTTATGAACAGGAAGGTCATACACTTTCCCTCTGGATGCCAGATTGTTTTTCTCCTCTGTGATGTAAGCGCTGTCTTTAAGAAGCATGAGCAAAGAAGTGCATTGTCTAAAGGGCATTTATTCTGAGTCAACAAAGCCAAACTCAAAGGTTACATGCTATGTGATTCCATTTATATAGCATTCTAAAAATGACAGCATTAGAGTTGTGGGGACAGATCAGCTCCTGCCGGGGGTTAGACTGGGAGAAGGATGCTCCTAAAAGGAGCCAGGAGCTGGGCTCCTTTTTGGTGATGAAACAGTTCTGTATCTGTACACAAATCTCTACCTGTTGTAAAATTTCATAGAATAACCCACTCCTCCTTCCCCGTCCTCACAATTAAACAAAAACAAGAACTGGTGAAATCTGAATAAGGTCTATATTTTTGTTAATAGTATTGTACTGAAGTCACTTTCTTGGCTTTAATCGTTTTACTATGATTACACAAGACCTCATCATCAGGGGAAGCTGGGTGAAGGGTGTGCAGGCACTGTGTACTATTTCTGCAGTTTCTTGTGATTTGAAAACTATTTCGAAACAAAGTTTTGTTTTGTTTTGTTTTGTTTTCCAAAGAAGTATTTTGTCACGGGCAAAATCAAATCCCAAGATAAAGAGCAGAACTGCAGAAGCCTTTTGCTGCATGGCATTTAGTGGTGGGATGATTTTTAGGTTAGTGGTCGCATTTCAGGTCAGTGGTTAAGATCTCCAGCTTGACATAGACTGATGCCAGCTCACCACTGTGTGTCCTTGGACAAGTTACTCACCTTCATAACATAAAAGACGGGTAATAGCAGTGTCTACTTCCTCGAGCATTTATGAGGACTCGTGAAATAATGAATGTAAAGGCCTTGGTACAGAAGCAATTTACAAGAATGACTCAGATGTTACCTGTTACAAATTTTTTTATGTAATAGTTACCAACTCATTGTCAATTCTGAGTTCCTTTTCTGCTAAGA